AAAAAAACACTGAAAATCGGACATGAAGGTGACGGGAGAAGAGGAATGAGGGAGTGAATTGTGGAAGAAGATTAGAAGAAATTACTATTTAACTAATATAATAATTGGATAAAATAAGTTGGTAGATGGTGATGTGATGTGTGTATTTTATTTATCATTTTTTTTAAACATAGGAAGTTCATTGTAAGATATTTAGTGTAATAGAGAGTGAAAAGGAAATTTTTTTGTGTGGGGACTGAAAAAGAATATGTAAAAGGGTTTAGGTACTTTGTAGGAAAAGCCCCAATAAATAATTACTTCAACATATTAAAAAAATTAAAATTCAACCGACTTGTTGTAAGTTTTCCAGATGGGTTCACGAAATTCATGAGATTAATTAGCTATAATCGAGTCAAATTCCCTAAACATCCGTTACTAGGTGGAGCATTATCACTCTTAAGTGAATAATTTATTATGCAATTACGTGACATTAATCATTGCATCCTAAGTATAAATGTATAATTACAAGTTACCTAGTGATCAGGTAATTGCATAATAAATTGTGGTCACAGATAATTTGCATTCTAAAAGATTGATTAATAATAATAATAATAATAATAATAATAATAATAACATTAACAACAATCTAATTGATTATCTCTAATGACAATTATTTATATATCTTCACATGCTTGCTCAAATGTAGTAATGTAAACGAACTAATCCTGAATATTCCGACCTTGCGTTCAAGATTATGATTTGAACATCGGAGTATTTACACTAATAACCTCATAATTTTTTACAGGTCATTTACAATGAAGGTTTTGATCGAGAGGTGCAAAACAAATAATTATGCTCGAACATTGTTCATATTTGTTCGTTTATTTTTGAGCAAAAAATAATGTTCTCGTTCATTTGTTTAGTTGTTTATTGAAGTTCAAGATCATTTACGTTGAATAATTAAGTAGATAACCTTTGAAGTAGTCTGATTGACCCAAGATCAATTCGTTCAAAATCATTGAAGTTCATAAATAATGAAAAGAAATCATTGTGTTTTTTGTTTTTTTTTTTTCACAAAACCATACATATAAATAAAAAATAATTATATTGTGTTAGTTTTCAAAAACATTATCGAATGGTTGGTTCGCGTTCATTCAATTAACAAATGAACGAGTTTTTGTTTATAAATTATATTTGTCTATAGTCTGGATTTGTAATTATTTTTTATGTGACTGTGAGGTAATTCTGTATTTTATTAACATTATTGCCGATTGTTTATGGAATTCAAGCGGACCACAAATTTTGTGGTCACGTGATTACGGATCATGAATGTATTGCCTACAAAGACTGACCAACTAACAAGTTAATATCAACTGATTGACTAATAATTTAGTTCACATTTCGTAACGTAAAACCATCATATATATAAATGCCAATAAATCGAATTTATATAGACGCTATTTTTTTCTTATGATTTTTTTCCATAAAATTTTCTTGCCTCTTGTTATGATAAACGTGGGTTTTATTGGTCTCATTTCTTTCTCCACCGACAGATTTGCATTTAAGAGATTAGGTTTTGATTTTAGACTTGCATATTGTTTCATCTCAAATTCTCAATGCTGGAAATATTATATATATGTATATATATATATATATATATGAGAAATGCTACGGTCCCGTTATGGAACCATTCCGTCGGGATTCGTAACTGTTAGATCATCATGTAACCGTCACAGATAGTTGATCTAACGGTTACAAACCGCGACGGAAATGTTCTGTTATGGGAACGTAGCATCGTCCTATATGTATGTATATCCTTGGCAAAAATTCAATTTTGGTCCGCTAACTTGGTCATTGTCCACTTTTGATAACTATCTTTCCCTTCGTAAAAATGGTCCATTATGTTACATTTTTCATCAGTTTTAGACTTTTAGTATACTACTCCAATTGGCGGAATTACGAGATGACGTGGACCGAGATTAGAACTACGTGGAGAAATAGAATATTGACGTGGTAGGATAAAAATTTGATTTGTCATCTCGTAATCCCGGGCCACGGGATTAGTGTACTAAAAGTCTAAAACTGATTAAAAGTGTAACATAATGGACCATTTTTTATGAGGTGAAAAATAATGTGCCAAAAGTAGACAATGGACAAATTAGCGGACCAAAATTGGATTTTTGCCCGTGTATCCTTTTTGTTTGCTTTATTCACCACATACATCTTTAAATAATTATAATAAACAAATAATTTGATTAATTGCGTCGGTTATTATAACTAAATCTCACATAAATTCAAAATTCTTTCATCAGGTCCAAATAAAAATATTATTTAGTTGAGCACGTTTAACAAGCATCACTAGTTGAATAATAGTTTATTTAATAACTTTATACGAAATATCTTGTATTCATATACGTTGGTATGATAAGATGATAAATTTATCTCGTAGACTTTCCTATTTAACTTCTTAAGAAAATTATTAAAGATTTTTATTTGAAATATATCATCTAATTTTATCCAATACTTAACTATAAATTCAAAGTTTACTTATCAATCATCAACTAAATTTATCGAACATACTCAATATGTCAGTACTATGTGCATATATATTCTCAATTTGGACTAAAAGGTACCTAGAAAATATATTACAATAACGAAATGATACTATATAATTAGTAGCAAATCATTATACTGACTTGTGCATCTGTTCATTAATCAACATCACAGTCGCCATAATTGGACCACCCAAATAAACCCCATTGTAAATATAAAACTAGTATAGAGTCCGTGCGATGTATTGGGTGCACAATTTTAAAGTTATTTTTTTTAGGGGTGCAACACGAGGATTTTCGAGGGGGTCACCCATTCTATACCAATTTTAAGGTCATTTATCTATCTTTTATGCAAGAATAAATGAATAAAGAAAAATGTACGGAATATATAGTACGTGACTTGTGCGAGGCACGATATATATTTATTTGGGGAATATTATATTATAAGATGCAATATCAATAAAAGTTTTACAATACGCAGGAAAATTGTACAATAAAATTGTACTTGATAATTTTTTATATAAATTACCATGTCCTCTTCAAAATTCATTTCTCTAAACGCATGCAAGTTAATTGCCCTTAGCCATGCGGTAATGCGATTTTTCTAAACATATACAAAAAAACAATCAGTCAAAATTAATTTGTTTAAAAATATAAATATTGTAAATATCTAAATACATACACGATATGTAGAATAAATAAGCCAAATTGCAAATCTCAAAATAAACTTAAAAAAAATCGAAAATATATTTCACTAAACATGTACAAAAATATCTAAATACATACACGAAAATATAAAAAAAAAAATTTAAAATATACATTTCAAAGTTCGAAATTAAAAAAAAAAAATCAAATAATTTGGCTTACAGTTTTTATCATGCAGAACCAACTCGAGATATGATTTGTACGTGCTGCCCTAGTCTTGGAAAAACATTCTCACAATTCGAACTTTGGGCATAGGTCTATTAGACCTATTGACTTGTTTGATTAAGTCAAATCCTTGATCCATTATTTTGAATAAAAGACTAATTGGAGATATTTTTTGTTTGCAGGAGGTTGATAGTAAGGAAGATGATGACTTGATATTTTGAGATTTGTAATTTATAATGGGTACCTGATGGCCACAAGATATACTTGAAGATGTGCAGATTGGGTTTTGTTTAAATAATGATTCAAATATGTTTAAAAAATAGTCATTCAAGGGGGAGTGTTATAAATATATATGGTCCACACCATTAATGTTATTATAAAATAATGTATATGAATGACTATTTTGCCCCTGATGTAATTGTATTATTACGATTGTGTCATCAGAAGTTTCCTATAAATAGGAGTTTCAATTATAATGAAAATTACACCTAAGAGAAACATTTTCTCTATTCTCTATTTTTCTCTCTAGTTTTATAACAAGATGCATTTTATCTATTATTTTTTAAATAAGAAATGGTAGGATAGGATGAGCGAATAATAATGTTGACATATATTTATAGAATAAATTATAATTTTAGTTTTATATGTTTTACTAAGTCCTAATTGCATTTTCTATTTTCGTCCCGTATATTTAAAAAAAATGCTAGATAAAGGTCCTTTTCATATATAAGGGACGAAATTTGAACACTTTTTTTACAAAACATAAACGACATTTTTGTTGCGAAAAAACCTTTTTGTAACCATTTTTTAAACATACGAGACAGAAATTCAAAAACCAATTCAAAGATGACGAAAAAATTAAAATAGTAAAACATACATGATTGTAATTTTGTCTATATTTATATCATAAATCACAAATATATGCAGAGCCAGCAATTCAAACTGCCAAGGCCAAAACGGTAAATTCAGTGCACGCGTCTTGCCCAACCCGTCCAGCCCACCTTCTCTCCTTCGAACCATCGCCGGAGCAAATTCTCTCTCTCTCATTTATCTAGATCTACGGAAACTGAATCAAATCCGAGCACAAATCGACCATTTTCTTGTAGAAAATCTCCCATTGATTCGAAGCTTAGCTGAAGAGGCCTCGCTGGTTTTAACCCATCCAGCGATGGGGGATTTCAATCTGGCCCTAGTGATTGTGGCGATCGTCGTCTGCGTGCTCGTGTTCATCTTCAACGTCTACCTCCTCGTCAACTACCAGCACCCGGATGATGCCAACCAGGCCTATTTCCCCAAATTCGTCGTCGTCCTTGGGCTCTCCGTCGCCGCCATCTCCATCCTCATGCTCCCGGCGGACGTCGCTAACCGGCAGGCCTGCCGCCACGCGATTTACAATGGCGCCTGCAACCTAACGCTCCCCATGAAGGATTTGTGGCTGGCAATTTACATTTTGGATGCGATTCTCGTATTCTTTGTCATCCCGTTCGCCATGTTCTATTACGAAGGGGACCAAGACAAGTTGGGGGCTCTTTCTTAACGTTTTGTTTTCCTTGTTCTTACCCTGCGTGGTTGGATTGAGTTTGTGAGTGTTTTCGTCTTTCTAAATCAATGTTGTTGGCTATTCTTTTGGGCTTTTCAGGACTGTATGGAAGAGAATGAAAAGCGCATTGATATGGGTGGTTGTGACTGCTGTTGTTTGCGCCCTTGTTCTTGGAATTTTATATGGTAAGGGCTGACTTCATGGATGTATTGGTGAATTTTTTTGGTTTTGAAATTTTCCCATTTAGGGCATGGAACTTTAGCTGCAAGCTCGGAATCGCCTTAGTTACTCAGTTCCGATACCTTGTTATCATAATCATTTGATTCGTACATAGTTTAATTCTTGTTGTTCTTATTATGTTCTTTCCTAAGTGCATTATGATTGATGTCTGTAACTTGGAAATCTATCTGGACAAATAGTTGATCGAGTAACTTTTACTCTTCTAATTGGCGACTTTTGTGTATTTTTTGGATTATTTATTGTTTAGGGCTTGTGGGAAAGGTCGATTTCACAGTTAGACACCTTTCTTCGTCAACTACATCCTTCCCATCATCATGGGACTTCAACAGCAATCAACAATGTATTGGGAATGGAGCAAGGCAGGTTAGGGATTGTCCTGATTATGCCAAATACGGTTACCTTTTGATTTCTGAATTTTGTACTGATTATCACTCATTTCTTTTCCTCCTTTAGTGCTCTGCATATATAGCCAGTGCATCATCTGAGACAACTTGGACCATGCAGACTACCTTCCCAGAATATGTTGTTGCACTTGCAACCATTGTTGGATCTGTGCTTTTCACTGTATGTCCGCCTAGCAAATTTGTAGCGTTTTCTGTTCTGTAAATGAAAACACAAATATGTTTGTTGTGACTTGTTGGGATTTGTTTACTTTAAGCTGAATCTCTTTTTCAATTTCATATTATTATTTTGTACTGCAATTTGTTCATGCAGATTTTTGGTGGAGTTGGCATTGCTTGCCTTCCACTCGGACTCATATTCTCATTTGTCCGCCGGCCGAAAGCTGTTATTACACGCTCTCAGTATATTAAGGTACGTTTGTTTCATTGCGACTGCCATTCTTTCTTATTTTTTTCTCTCCCCTTTTGATGTTGTGCGATGCAACTTTAGTCTTCAGACGGTGGGGAACTACAAGTACCATTTATAAATGACCCTTGGTTTTCATCTTCATAGGAAGCAACTGAACTTGCGAAGAAGGCCAGAGAACTTAAAAAAGCTGCTGATGCACTTCACCAGGAAGAAAGGAGTGGTAACAAAGGAAGGAAATGGCGTAAAAATGTTAAAAGTGTAGAAAAGGTTTGTTGCTTTTTTTTTTTTTTT